AAAAATCCTCCAAAACATCTGTGACTGTGCAGAGGCAAATTTATCCTCAGGAATATATGCTTTTTAGTTGCTAGGAAAACCATAAACTAACATCAGACAACCACGGCTTTCATTACTAGCTGAAAATACTTAAGAGTCAAATGCTGTGGTCTTGAGTCAGCCACAGCAACTTGCACAAATTGTCTGAATCAAGGTCACACAAGATCTGGCTTAGGGATGAGCTGTGGCCTGTGAAATCACAGTACCAGTCTGCCCATGGGCTGTATTCTCCTGTGGGGTTACCACTGGACTTCAGTGTCAGGACATTTGTCTAGGATGAAATCTGAGGGCTGATAATGGCATCTGAATACGAAGAATTGAGCAACACTGCTACAAACTGAAGGGTTAATTTCTAACCCATTTAGAGGGAAACACAACAGCCTTTTTAAAGATTATTCAATGATGCTATTGTTAAACTGGCTTTAGTGTTGAATATTCATTTCAAAGCTCTGGAGGAGACAAAAATTACAAAGGAAATCATTCAGTGTTTAATATTGCAGAGGCTTATATCTGTTGTAGTTTTTGGCAATAATGAGGGAAAATACTTTCTAGAAGTACTGCTGATTTTCAGCTCAACCCTTCCTTGGATGTGTTAACATAAGGACAAAAAGGGCAATGTTTATGTCCATTTTTGAAAGATGTATAATAATAAGCAGTGATTGGAAATGTGATTATTCCAAAATTCAATCCAAGATAGGCTATCAGGAACAGGAAGAAGTACAAGCAGAGCCAACTTTCGTTTGATGGCGATTACAGAGCGCAAGTTTAATAAATGCTCTTTTCAGGCAGTGCCATTCACACCACCTTAGAAAATATGAAGCCATTCCAGGGACTAAAACTGGAAAATTAGCTGCCAGTGGCATAGTGTATTTCCAAGTACAACATGGCTTACTGTAATGCATTAGCCAAAGCTTGAGGCCTCCACAAGGTAATAATAAACCTCAGTACGAGATCAGTTCAGAGCTTTTCATTGTATAAAAAGCTCAGTTCTACAGTTTGGATTCTACCAAAATAATTGATGACAAGTTAAAAACTGTGCTTAACCACATGTTACTGACAATATGAGTGAAATCTACCTTTAGATGTCATTGAATTTGCTCCATTTAGCAAGGCAGCTATCTGAGATGACTTGGAATGGGTTGTTTGTACACGTTAGTGTATTTTAAATGAGAAAATCCCAGAAAACTGATGCTGTCAGCAGAAAAGATATGCTGGTCTGGTAGCCTGAGTAGTAAATAGCAGCAGTAACAGACAGGAAAGGCTTAGGGTGATTTTACAGGAACCACACCATGTGCCAACACAAGGCTATCAGCAAACTGGAGCCAGAACGTTTCAGAGCCTTCAGGTTTGTGGAAAGAGTGCAGGAGAAATGAAAATTCACTTGATGAAGAGCTCCGCTCTTTAAATGAATGGCGCTTCAATTCTTGCCGGCTCCTTCCTCGCTACCTTGAAATTCTCACATGCAGTAGCACAACCTAGTGCTTGAGTGCTGCAATAACATGCTGAGCAGAGACAGCGAGCTCAGCACACTACCTACCTCCATCAGGTTTTTAGATACAGCTGCAAATCCTTCCATTCAAAGCCCTGAAGCCCCTGTATTAGAAAAGATGCTGAGCCTAACAGCACAAATGCACTGCTTAAGTGTTTCCTCCCTGAGGAAGAGGCAGAGTCGTAACAAGGAACTGAAAGAGCAGAGGAAGCAGTCTAAGATGATGGGGTGTTTGCGACCAATCTTTTAACCAGATCCTCTAACCCCCTTGCAACAGGAAAACAGAAAACACTGCTGTGCCCTCACCGAGGACAGACACCAACTAACACATACCTTAAATCAAATCACCTACTTTCAGAAAGCTGTTACCAGCAGAGACAGCATATGACCAGCTATGGAATTAAGGGAGACAGCACATCTTTGAAAGCCTTGCCCAGAAAAGAAGTGGCAAAGACAGACTCTGAAGTTTATTACCCTTCGTGGGAGGAAAGGTCATTACAGCAAAATCATGTAAGCAAGGTCCTGGGACAGCAAACATCGAAGCATTGAAGCAAACATCCTTCCTCCCAAAGGGGGAGAAAGCTCTCTACCAGGTATCACAGTATCACAGTATCACAGTATGTTAGAGATTGGAAGGGACCTCGAAAGATCATCTAGTCCAATCCCCCTGCCGGAGCAGGAACACCTAGATAATGTTACACAGGTAACCAGAACAAAATCTCTAGTGGAGTCTTTTATACAAATACCACAGAATGGAAACGATTAAAGCCTTCAGTTTCTCATTTATTTAACAACAGAGCAGTGTTGAAATGATCCTGGTTATGAACCAAAGGGTAGTTCAGAATTTCCTTGGAGGCATTACTATTTTAAGTGGTTTAACATAAAATGCATTATATAGTAATTGCACACCACATGCTTTCTGTGTTTTGCTGTGAAGAGGCTGCCAGATGGGCTTTGACACTTCTAGCTTCAAGTGTCTGAATGGAAAAGATTAGAAGAAAGAAGAACTGCCAAGATCACACTAAATAATTCTGTTTCTTCTTTTGTGAAGTATGTGGCAAATGCAGAGCTGCCACGCTCTTTACCAGGTGACAAAGATATTAACAAAGTTGTGCAGGATGCTCAAGAAACTAAGGCGTCACAGTCCAATCTGGGTTAAGATAAGGCATAAATGCAGTAAATTTGGAACCTAAATTAGTGGTTGGCTGTTCACACTCCCATCCTTCTGCCACAAAGCAGAAGGAAACGACTTTGGAATAATTCTCTTGATTACCTCATAGACTGATTCAGAAAAAAAGGACAGAGAGGATGACACATAAAACCAAAGGCACTTCCTAGCATCCATAAGAAATAGTCAGAAATCTCATTTCAAGCTTGCAATTACTTCAACTTTTGCAGTAGTGCTATATTCAAGCTCACAGAACAGGCAGGTATGAGAAGGGGAATATTTGGGTAGATCTTCACAAAACAGGTAGGCACTATGGGAGACCAAGAGATTCTAGGAAGAATTTTCATCCTTACGACTCAACATGACTTAGTTTCACTCTTGGAGACCCCATACAGGGGAGCAGATGCAATCAAGTCATCTAACGTCATATGTGCCCTGCCTTTTTTGTAAGAGGTAATCATGAGGTCCTGGTCAAATTCTACCTGAAAGAAGTTTAAAAATGAGCTTTAAGGCAACAACAACAAAAAAAAAACCAAAACCCTTGGCTTTTAATGGGACTCATTCAGTTACTTCTGAAAAATACTCTTCTGCCTTTTTAACTCCCACTGGCTTTTTGCTGTGATGTAGCATTCTCCTCGTGCTTTCCTAAACTGGCGTCCTGTACACACTGAGCCAGCTTATTTCTCTTCAAAAAGGATGACTGTTTCACACTACCAGAAATGAAGAGGATGTTCATCATTTACTCAAGAAATAGTTTGCTGCCAATTTAATACACTTTGTTTCCATACTACCAGGTCTTTATAGTCAAGAGTATTTTCTCCATGCTTCAACAAGCCCACTATATAAACTAGCATCCCACTATATAAAATGAGCTATGGCAGGACACTGACGTACTGACCTTGCAACTTTAGTTCCACAAAAGAAAGCACTACAAGCAAAGTTACAATACCCATGACAAAGCTTCCAAGTACTAGCACCCCTGTGTCTGCAGAGACAGCAATACTGTGATCAGAGCTGCTGACAGACTGGATGTGAGCATGACTGTTTGTAGAGAGGGGGCACTGAAAGCCAACAAAATAGCTGACAATCTGCTTTCTACACAACTTACTGTGCTTTGGACAGGGTAAAAACTTGCCTCGTAGCACTGCTCTCTCCAGGATGCTTTCACTTTGCATTTCTTTTTGTGACACAACCAAATTATTAGTAGCTCTCCTTCCCAGAACATGAACTCTCTGGGAGTCCTTCCAGCAGGGAAAAAGAATGCAGTCAGTGTCTATACAGCATAAACTACCCCTTCGTGGTGAAGGAGGAGGCATTTAGAAGCAACCAAATCTTTGTTCTCTCTGCTTTAAGAATCAGATGACTGATTAGAGCTATCCAAGCAAGTAGCCAACTGATGCAATTTCTTTCTGGATCTGACTATTTACAACGGGCTTTGCTCACACTCTGCAGAGAGGTTCAAGAGGATTATGCATTCCAAGCACTGTGAACAGGTATTTGCATCACTGCCAAAGAGGAAAAATGCCCTTTTGAGTCTTCTTGTAACTACAAAGGAAGTATTTTCTTTTCTACACAGGACTTCCCAAAATAAAAAGAATGAACTCCAGGTTCAGCTTTACTGGAAACTGCAGGGGAGGGAGGCTGACTGACACAGTATTTAGGTAACTGAAATGTACATCTCAGAAATCCTGGTGGACACAGCACAAAAAGAGAAGCTGAACATCTTAGTTTGCTCTACGGTAAGTAGAGAGCATAACCCTGCTCTGTAGCAGCTGGGTTTGACAGATTCATCTGAAAATTAACTTCAGAATAACATTTTCCCCTTACATTTATATTAGAAATTTATTTACTTATTACCTCCCTGCAGCACAGTCACCTTTTTTTTAATCACCTCTTTAGAATGAAAGCATTTTTCCTTTAGAAAGTTCATAAAAATAGAGGGGGAGTTGGGTTGGGGGGTTCTTTGCAGTTCTCTGTGTTCAAAACCCATTTACAACTTACAACTTCATCCTCAGAAAACATTTTGTGGACTCTATTTTGCACTTGGACCATGTGAAAACATGCAAAAACCCAGCACACTGAGAAGAACCTGCCTGAGATATACAGTGGTAACCACAGGCCCACTTAAGGAAATATTCATCCATGTAGGTGTTAATGACTGAAGGAAAAGATGTTTGAATGAGTATTTAAATAATGGTAGAATATAGGTTGATCAAAACCCGACAGGTTATCATACTGTACACTTGGGGATCAGTTTTTCAACATTACCATGAGTTTACACTTCTAATCAAAGGCACAACTTACTTGGTTAGCTTATGGCCTTTCATTGCTATGAGGAAATTTCTCACCGTCTCAGGACTCTGGTATCTACAGGGTGTTTTGGAAATGTACTTCAGGGTCTGCAACAGACAGAAAGAATTTGTTATATCACAGTTACTCTTTGGTTTACCGGCTGTGTATGGAACAAGTTGATTTTGGAAAGTCTCCTCAGTGTTACTGAGAAAAACTGGAAAAGTTGATTCCAGTGCTTGGGGTTTGGTTTCTTATTTAACAGTGGGAAGCGCTGTCATAGATGACACAGATCACTCACATTTTACCTTCAATAAGCCTATACTGATATGTGCTGAGGGAGTAAGAAACAGGCAACACCTAACTACAACTTTACGTGATGGAAATGACATTAGTACTTATCCAGAAAGCCCCAGTGAATTTATTCTGTAATGACATGAACCAACCAGCTCATTACACATCCAGGTGAGGACTACAGCTTTGACTATTCCCTCCGTGGCCCTGGAGGCCATTCCTCTCATCTCTTCAAAGCCCAAAGTCACATGTTGAAGAAGACCACAGGAAAGGATCAAGTTTTAGCTCTGTCTACTAAAAACCCACCTGCTGTGGTGACAGCAGACACTTGCTTTCTTGGCTAAGACTGTGATCAAGACATACTTACAGCTGTGCTGAATAGTATCACTCACATTTACTTCTTTTAAAACCAACAAACATTTACTGTCAAACCTAGATTAAAAAGTTACCAGTTTTGTGGTGTTTATTTCTTTGTTGTTGGTTTGGGGGTGCGAGGGGTTCTTGTTTTCAGGCAGTAACACTTCAGACAAGTTTGATACTATTCATCCTTAAAACCATGTTATCCTCTGCCAAGCTTTCACATGCTCATTGCCAGGGATACTCTCACTGCCAACCCATAAACAACTCAGTAAGCTCTCCAATCTATGGCTGTTTTCATCCTTCATATGCTATTTGGCAATACTTTGCGAAAGTTCATCGAAGCAGGTTAGATGGGTTGTCATGAACATCTGCAAGAACTATGAGAAATGCTTATGTGACAAGACAATTTATCTTTGCTCCACCTTTTGCATGTAACACCCACCAACCTCAGCTAACTGTTGCAGCAGATGTTACATCTGCTTGCTTTGTTTAAAACAACGGGACACGCAGCAGACAGATAATACATAATGTAACGTGACAGGAGTAAGAACCAAACATCTGTTGATAAAAACCCCACAGAAATTCCAATTCACAGCTGTCTTTTCAGTGGAAATAGCTTAGAATCTTGCTGAATGTTGCTTGTTGCTGGGATTAGACCCCAAAATGAAAGTTGAAAATAATGCCCATCAATGGCAAAGGCAAGGAAATCCTTGCATTGTCTGCATTGTGTGCATCAGCAACTGAAGGATTTAAGACTATTGTCAATGTTTGGTTTGCATTAAGGAAGAAAATCTTCACCTGTTGATACCACATAGCTATACATAAAGCTTAAAAGTACCAATACAACTGACTCCTGGTGCACTTACTGGATGGCAAATAGAGAGACATGTGTAGTAGGACACCACATGCACAGATTGTCTATAACAATAATAAAACCCTCTACAATTCTACATGGTAATCTGAGTTTCTTTCTTAGAAAATGTTATATATTTATATTGGAAAGTCAGAGGCCAAAAAAGCAGCATCAGTATTCTGAAAGCAGAAAACAACAGACACTGGTTAAAAGTGAGCTATAAGATCAACTAAGGCAAATCAGAAAATAGGTAAATGTATTTCCAGTGTATTTCCATTCAAATCCGTTATCATTTTAAAATGCTAGGTAAAAGAAAACAGACTTCAACATCACAGGATAAATCATCCTATTATACAGGTAGAGAACTGATGAAATATGAATCACTGGTATTCTTAAGCACAAGGTTCATTGGACTGTTAAAAAAATATATTTAAAAGCACAATAAGGTGTTAGATACCCCTCCTTTCTACAAGCCCTGCCTGACCTTTTCAGACAAAATGAAGCTGTTACTCATCAATAATGACCGACACTAAATCATCATATTGTCATGTAATAAAATTGCTTAATAGGAGTCATTTTCTTTTCCAGTTTAGTCTTTCTTTAGCAATTTCAAATCAATTAAAGTGCTGGGCATACAGCAAAACAGAGCTCCAGTTTAGCAAGCTTCACCTAGTTATTTCACTACCAGGGGATACAAGCCTGTCCACAGCTCATGAAGACATACTCAGCATGAACAAAGACAATCAAATTCTGGTTTTCTTTCAGTCAGATATAAAGCAAATATACCTAGAGTGTACACCAGCTTCACTCCATGCACAAAAGCAAGCTTCCTATAGGTACTTAACACATAGCAATGTAACAAAGCGATTAAAGCTTTAAGGTACCTTCTGACAGCATATACTTACAGGGTCTTTCTCAGCTGTTTCAAAGCAGTACAGGAAGAGACTGTTTGTCTCCATGAAGATTTAAATTAGACTTTATGTAAGCCCCTATTTTGTTGAATATGAGGCTTAGGAATTACAACCCTGTACCTTTTCAAACAAAGGCAGAACTAAAACAAAACAAAGCCGAGGCCAAATCTTATTCACATGAGTAGTTTTGCTGCTCAACAGGATTACTCATACAAGCAAGGCAAACTGCTTTCAACTCGCTGCTAATCATGGTGCTACTCACGCAATTCCCCAACACAGACAGAACAGGTCACACTGCAAGTCTGTATTGAAGTTGCTCATTTGAGATTTCAAATGTTCCTACTTGTATCATAGAATTTTAGAAGTTCTTCCTAGCAACAGATTAAACACTCATTACCAGTCTGACATCCAACTCATGTTGCCATCTGAATAAATGATTTGGTTATTCTTTTGATAAAAAGAAGAAAAATAGTTGGAAATCAGCGGTATATTTCTGTTAATACAGAAAATACCATATGTGATCTGTGCCTCAGCTTTGGAATCATGATTACATGGTACCACCAATTCATCAGATGAAAGAAAGTTCTGCTTTGCGTCTTAAAAGGAGAGAATACTTGGAATAAGAAAAGAAGTCACAAAACTAAAACTGTTAAAAAACTGTTGTGACAGATTTTAGTAAGAGCAGTGTCTGCTCCGATAGTGCAGGCAGCCACAACCTGAGCAAAGTGACCACAGAAAAGTGGCAAATACAGCATTTAACTGTGGTTTTTACAGGGGAGATCTGATACAAAATTATTAATATACAGACCTAAGGATGTGACCTACTCCAGTCAGGTCATTTTGCAAAGGAATGTCACAGTGCTACTCACTTCATACATGATCGTGTTCAGATTCTGCTGACCAGAGCTCTGCTTGTTTTTCCCACTCTCTTTGCGCTGCTGCTTAAGATCAGTGAGTAACTGGAACACCTGAGGGAAAAAATTAAAGTATTTTAGACCATTTGAGAGCATTTTCCCAGGAAAACAGAAATGAACAATGCAAAATCCTGTCAACCAAACAAAAGTAATGTGGCTTCTTTGGTGAAGAATGCACCAGCAACTGAAGTGAAAAATGTTACGGCACGATGAAAAGGTATGTAAACTGATTTTTAATAACAGATTTTCAGCACTTTTTAAGTGTTATCCAAGAGCTCCAAAGGAAAAGTTGCCAGGATGAATCCACCCTACTTGCTTATCTTATGTTCTGAACCCTGCTGTACTGGCACAGAGCTCCCATTTAAATGTGAGTGATGCTTGAAGCAAAATGTCACACAAGTTTACAGCCTTACTGGATTTGTTACAAGAGATGAACCTATAATATTAAAAGGGATATGTATCCCGTCTCACAGAGATGCAATTTTACTTTATCTGCAAAAAAAGTAAACTCTACAACTGTCAAACTGCCAGGAACCAACTAAAGGCTTGACCTATAGATGCTCCAGAGATTAGTGATCCCATTGTAAATTCTAGCGGAGTTATTCATAACAGTAAACGTTACAGTGACCAGCACAGTGTTATGGTATGTTAAGCCACAAAGATTAAATTAGCTCCCCATTTCATCATAGCAATGTAATATAAGCAGACATTCCTGAAAAGAATGTAATAAAGTTATCTTCACATTTATGATACAGTGATTATTAACGTAGGAACGAGATTCAAAGTCTGAAGGCAAGGAAGATGTTCTGATTTTTGCAACTGTCCTTTGTCAACTTCGTTGCAACACCACAACATCTTTACTCATCATAGCTACATCCACAGTAACATGTTGAGACAGCATCACAATTATTCTTTTATTCCCATATTAAATCACGTTAGGTTGAAATTTCTTCAGATGTTTTGCTTCAGGCTTTACAGCATATCAGGAGCCGATACCCACAGCAAAGTAACAGACCACTTCTTTCTGTTCATCCCTTAACTTTTAACTAGCTTCATTCAAGATCAGGATAAGATCTCTGGATCATATAAGATATCTTGATCATATCAAGATCCATGATAAACTGACAAGTCCATAGAAATAAGAACACAAACATTTCTAGACAGTGAGAAATAAGAACATAACCTGCAATCCCTTCATACTGCATCTTCTGTGAAACAGCAACACCCATCGATCCTGACTTGAAAGCCAAAACTCAAGTGAGGAACTTTTACCTAATATATATTTGAAGAAAATGTAGCCTGTGACACCAAAACACAACATAACACCTCAAAAGTCACACAAGAAATGTAGGCATGGAACATAAAACATGTCAATCCTGAATACTTCTTTCAAACATCACCTTCTGAGCAAAATATTACCTCGATACAGAGAATGTTAGGTATGCCAGTCAAATTGCAACTGAAAAGAGGAGCAAACAGAAAGATATCACTAGTTTCAGGGGAATCAGTACTTTGAAGAGCAGTGAAAAGCCATGCCCCAAAAGCCTATAGCTGCAGACACTGCAAATCCCTTCCCGTAAAGAATGAAAAGCTGCATATGTGACAACTCTGCTGTGAAAGGGAAATGAGAAATAAGCACTCTCATCAGTATAACTTCATTTTCCACTTCCTTTTGCTCTTTTCCAACACACATGATACATTCACCAACAAAAGGACTCAGCTGAAGAAAGTTCTGACTGAAGAGCATGAAGAATGGATTCTGCAGTTCTCTCTGTTCTGGACCATACCTTTAGGACACATATAGATTTTACATAAAGTAGCTGCCATCACTTGAACCTCAGCAGACAATAATATCTATATTCCAACAATATCCCAGCACATGAAGAAGGAGGCAGAGAAGATTTTGCAGTAAATAATCTCTGAAATACTTGCTATTTTCCTTCAATAGTAGTTGTTTTTAACAAACAGCCACCTAATACTAGTTTGGCTGACAAAATATCATCTGTTTCTCAGGCAAGACAGTTCTTTCCAAGTGAGTCATTAAAGCCCTTCTAACAGTCCCCAGATGGTTGCTCTGCTGTACACAGACAGATGCAGCTCACGATAACACATTTCAAGATTTATTTCAGAAGAGATGGAAAGAGCTGTGCAACACTCAAGCTTCAGTAACAAAATAATACAAAGCACTTGGCTTATGAAAACCATGCCAAAAAATTACATTCATGAACAAAGCACTGAAAGCTCTCCAATACCTGACTGAGGTTAAACCAGCAAGAACACTACACTGCTATTTGTTTCATGTATGCCAATATACATTGTTTGTTACAACAGGGACTAAGGGACATCACTGGCTCTTAGGAGTGTTTATCCTGAATAACACATGTCAGATGAGCCAACTGCTTCACCCTTCCTATAATCTAACCTGCTTTGGAAGACCTTTACAAGACTACAAGCATTCAGGGCTGTAAGACTGCATTTCGAGTAGCACTGGCTTTCATACAACTATGCATTAATAAGTTGCAGGCTCTTGGATGATGCTGCACATCACAAGCTTAAAGTTAAATACGAAACAGTGATTCTATCAGCAGCCATCTGTGAAAAGTTTTCTGCAAGAGTTTTTATTTGCAATGTTAAAGACACTCCAGTCATCAGTGTGTCACTCACTCGGTGCTATGCTGCTTTGGCATAAGATTAAACTAAAAACTAAAAGAGAACTTGGATATTGCTGCTCAGTCACATGAGGGTCAACACGCCCCATTTGGGAACCACTGAATCTAGCGCACTTGCCCAACTGTGCAACTGTTTAAAGATGTGGAGAATCAAATTCTAAATGACAACCTACCATAAACAAGAGGATTCAGCAAAGTAACCACACAGCAACTGTGTAAACACAACAAGGCTGAAGTTCAAGCTACTGACATTCTACATATATGCTTCTCATCCATGTTTATATCTGGTTTTATAGACTTGGGACCAAACTAATAATAATACAGCTTATTACTGGTAAATACATTTCCAGATCTTCTTTAAAAAGCTTTTTTTCTTAAAACCAGATCAAATGCAGGGGGGTGGAAATCACACACCAGTCTCGCTGACTGCCACTGGCAACTTTCAGCTACTACAGGAGTATCCAAGTGACTGATGACAGCTTTAAAGTGTTGGTTCAAACCCAGAACGCAGCCAAACTTACCTCAAAGTTACTGAGCAATGCGGCATTTGCATCCTTCCTAAAAGGAATAATAAAAACAATTACTTATATTCCAAATGAAACTGTTTAAAGGTTTTCTTGGCTAGTCACACATTCTAAAAGAACAGATGCTGTTTCCATGAAGTGGTGCCCTCTCTGAAAATAGTTTTCCATACATATTGCATAAATATATTTTGCACACTATGCCCCCTAAATCATAATACACTTGTACAACATAATCTGTTTACTCAGTCACTCTATTTTGTTCACTCGCCCAGTTTTACACACTAAAACCAAACTGCCTTGCTTCTTCCTTACAAAAAAACCCAAAGGCCTCTAGTTTTATTTGAATAAAGACTAATGGAAAATATAATCCAGATTAAACATGCTATTTATCTGTCAAGAACACAGATACTTACTATTTTAGTAACACAGACATATGTGTGTGTATAAATACGGCACTGTACTTACAACATATTGCTTTGAGTAAAAAAAAACTCACTCTGTTTCCTCTTTATTATAGAACCACAGAATCAACCAGGTTGGAAAAGCCCTTTAAGCTCATCCAGTCCAACTGTTCCCCAGCACTGCCAAGGCCACCACTAACCCATGGCACTGAGGGCCTCATCTACACACTGTGTGAACACTTGCAGGGCTGGTGACTCCAGCACTGCCCTGGGCAGCCTGTTCCAATGCCTGAGCATCCTTTGGGGAAGGAATTGCTCCTAATATCCAACCTAGGAAGGAATTGTTCCTAATATCCAATCTAAATGTCCGCTGGTGCAGCTTGAGGCTGTTTCCTCTTGTGCCTACTCCTTTATTAGCATTAGGCAATGCTGAGAGTTTCCTATTTTCCACCAGCCAAACAATTCCCCACTAATTCTGTCCCAGTTAAGCAAGAATCCTTATCCACTGCTGGTAGGCTGCCTGCACCGAGTCAAGCACGTATTTAGACTCATCGTGCCTCAATTACTACTGCACCTTGTAATTTTATATTTTTAAACTCAATAAAAGGGAGAACACCGGCCCCAGAACATCCTATATTCCCCGAACAACCCGTTCTGCTGAGCAGTCAGCAGTCACAACAACAGACAGCCTCCATACAAAAGGAAAAAAAGGCCTTTCTCAGGTCTGTGCAGCAGCTTCTGAAAAAAAAAAGGTACCATGTATTGTTAAGCACCATCAACTGTTTGAATAGAACTGTCACGTTCATCACTTTCAAACGAGTTCAATGCATCCACAAACTTCCACAGGTTCCATCATTGTTTTTAAATGAAAAGGACCTTCTGAAATACGCTGAGATGAAGTTCAACTTCCATTCCGCTGACTCGAGTGAAACTTCAGCCAGTGAGCTCACACACGCATTAGCTTTCATTCATGTTTTACAAACCATATAGCTTTTGTTGTTAGGTAAATGCAGTCCTCCAGAATGTCTGCATTCAGGCTATCACTACAGAAATCCCTATGGATCAAAGACATTCTTTGTTAGAAAAAATAACGCCATAGAAGGATGATATAGGGAATTACTCAGTTAACTGAAAGGGCCATATAAATACATTAGTATACCAGTGAGGCTGTGAAAGCTATCTGAAGGTAAGTAATTCAGACAATTGCTTCCTTTTTAATCCAAAATCATTATCATAGAGAAACCCACTTATTTTTTCTTCTAACAATGGACAGCAAGTGAATCAGTCTCAAATCTTTTTCTTGTGCTGCATTACCGCAGTTATAAACTGGTCAACAAGACCTTGCATTCAGCTTCCAAAACGTCTGCAGGACTTACAAGTAGAAACACCCTTTTCTTCAGTGCTAACTCCGCTGAAGCAGCTGCCAGTTTTATCCATTCAGAAAATGAGAAATTATAAATGATGCATTCTAGTGTGTGTTTTTAAATAGTCAGCTAAGCAGTCTGCTTCATTTTTATGATATTAAGCCTTACTATTAAGCTATAATAAACATAAGACTTAACATTAAGCAATAATAAATATAAGACTTAATATAAAGCAGAAGGGAAAAAAAGTCATGTTAATACCAAATGTATAAACTCTTTACAGAATCTTTAACTAAGTAATATTTGCCCAAATCCGAGTCCAAACCAAGATATTGCTGAGAAGGTAAAAATGCTAGGAAAAGTATCCCAGAATATGGCATCACACCTCTCAAGCATCACTGCCCCTTCATGGTTTTAAATCTACTACGGAAAATACGCTGCACATTTAAATCACAATGTTTTTTGGAGGGTTCTTTCCTCTAGTAGCAGATGCTTCTGACATGGTATGAACTTAAGAGAGGTTTCCTTAGTTGCAAGGCTTCTCTCTATGAGGGCCATCAGGAAGGAGGCAAAAGATTAGGAAGATTAAATGCCAAAAGTAACTCAAGTGCAAAATGGACTAAACTGTTCCATTCCAATGCAAGGGACATTCACCCAAAGCTCAGGAATACAGCCCCCATGTCTTCTACTCTGATGAGCCTTCTTATTGGTACTAAAAGAAGCTGCACCAGTAAAATAAGTTGGGCTACTCAAGGTAATAAAACACAAATGGATGTATAAACATCAGCGTATCAAGAGCGTCTTTCTGAGCAGGGCAAATCCTACCCTTCTTCACATGCAAAAGCAACTTCTGGCCTGTCCATGTTTCACCGCATTTTTCAGTATGCAACGACAAGAACAGCTCATTTCCCTGCAGGCTGTTCCTCATGCTAAGACTAACATAATACGAACCTGTATTTCAATTGGTATTTCCTATTTTTTATCTATTTCTGCATTTTATGTAAAGATTTGATTATAATAATACACAAGATTTAATGATAATGAAACACCCGTGGATAACACGAACTGCAACAGCTCAGCTGACTTTGGTGGATGCTGACAGACATCCCTTGGGACTCATACCCTCTGTGCTCCTATTCATTAGAAACAAGTACCACGTATGCATATAGAACCACACAATGTAACGAGCTCCACAGAACTCGTGAGTTTCTATGCTTCTGCATATGCCTCTGGCTGGGGTAACTACCTCAACTATCAGCTAGCCAACACTTTGACTCGCCTCTCTTGTCTGCTGATGCACACACAACCACATCATGAGGTTGGAAGTGACCTTTGGAGATCATCTTATCACCCCCCCCCCATTAGGTTTTCTCCTTCCCCAGCATATTCAGCTCCCACATCAAGCTGTTCACCCAATGCTCACAGGAATAACGCTCTCCCCAAAGCTGAGGATCCACGTTTCACCTCTCCAGAGCAGGGCAGAGAAGGGAGCACAAGGAGACAGGAGGGGAAGGGAGACAGGAACTGAGAGCAGGGGTCAAGCTGAGCCAAGGTGCCTTTTGCCCCAACAAACAGGTGCTTCGGCACCCTATTTAGGGTGAAACCCCCTCAGTTTCTCAGCAGGACGCCTGAACACACTGCTGCTCACGGGGGTGTTAGAGGCCCAATAACACCAATAACACGGGGGTGTTAGAGGCCCTGTAACACCACAGGCAGGCCCATAGAAACACCCACACACAAACACACTGCTGGTACGTCCATACTGCTACACGGAGTGACTTTTTACAAGGGCATGTAGCGGCGGGACACGGGGGAATCGTTTCCAACTGGCAGAGGAGAGATTTTGGTTTGACATTAGGAAGTTGCTCCCTGGGAGGGCGCTGAGGCGCTGGCACAGGGTGCCCAGAGAAGCTGTGGCTGCCCCATCCCTGGCAGTGTTCAAGGCCAGGTTGGACACAGGGGCTTGGAGCAAGCTGCTCTAGTGGAAGGGGTCCCTGCCCGTGGCAGGGGATTGTAAGTGGATGAGCTTTAAGGTGCCTTGAACCCAAACCAGTCTGGGGTTCTATGATCCAGCGATACCACACACCCCACAGGCAGTATATACACATGCACCCCAACACGCACATCAAGGCAAGCACATATATATACATATGTATAACCCTCACACAGCACAGGCAGGCCCATATGGATGTACCCACACACAACCCCAGCCCTGGGGTCCCCGCTGCCGCCACGACAGACGGCGGCCCGGCCCCTCGCCCTCCCCCGCCGCTCCTTACACCTCCATCTTGTCGGGCCCGGCCGCCGCGCTGAGGACTTCCCCTTGCGCTGCCACAGACACCCGGAGCCCGCCCGGAGACGGCGAGGGGAGTGCGGGAGAAACCGGGGTGAGCTGCAGGAAGTTTTGGCTGCCGGAACGGAAGCGGAAAAGGAAGGAGAAATAAAGGGTGCGAGGGGAGGGAAAAAAAAACCCTCAACTGCATTGGCCGGGAATCGAACCCGGGCCTCCCGCGTGGCAGGCGAGAATTCTACCACTGAACCACCAATGCCGGTGATGGGAGAAAGGTGTGCACGCCATAACTTGTACCTAGCGCGGACAGACGTGAGCTCTGTTAAAACACCCCGATCCTGGCAATTACCCCCCAAGTATGACAAGGGGGAAACAGTATCCTAAGAGGCCCTTCCGAATCAAATCTAGCCATGCGCAATACAGTAAGGCTGAACTAGGTGTAGAATGCTCCCATCATCTTTTAAAGCACCTGTACATAACCTTATTAAGGGCATCAGTGTCATATGCCTTTTCCTACCATCGCTTCTTCCACATTCAATTTAGGTGCTGTTAAGTTATTCAAGAGCCCTTTTCATTCTCAAGAAAACTGAAGATACTTCATTCAATGCAAATAGCTGAAAATCCAATTGGCTACAGCAATTGAGAGCCAGAATTAATTAATTACTTAATTAATTACTTAATTTTGCCATTATCTCTCAGTTTCAAGTTTATTTGCAATGCCAGAAACACTGCCTAAGGAGTCCCATTCACTTGTTTGCAGCTGGGCTGTAAGAGCAAACTAGGGAACCAAGTGGGTTAGACTTGTGGTCACAACCTCCCTCTTGCAATACCCGCACAAAATCCACCAGCCATCTAATTCTCTCCAGTCACACCACAAGAAAGTCCACTCCCGCTTTTGGGATTTGACTTCTCCTTGGGATGTTGCAAATCCTAAATCAATTCTGATTAATGTGAACAAACTGCAGTGCTTCAGAAACAGGCAGGACAGCAGGTAACAAACTACTCCGAGCTCTGCAGGAACCATTGTCATCAAATCCCTAAGTGCTAGGCAAAGTCTGAAAGCCTCCTGCAAAGCTTTTTTAGCCCTTTTCTGCTGAAGAGCCTTAAAAAGGCTTCAGTGGACATGTGGACCCCATCATGCACAGACTGTGGTACAGGTAGAAATCAGCTACACTCCAGAATCATTTGTCATGGAGTCCTACGGAAAAAAGAGCCACGGGAAGGTCTTCAAACTGCAGACTGAAAGCTGTTGGTCTGACTCAGTGGACAGGATGTAACAGATGCTGACCTTTTCCATGTCAGGATTAACCAACATTGTAAATTGGCCAAAACCTGCACAGCAAATGCTCTGTAACTTCTCTGCCATGTTTCAAACCCCACACGTGAAACTGCCTGCACACCAGCTCCCAGCCAGGCTAAAGGGAATAAAGGATGTCAGCTTTCATTTGAAAAGATGGCATTTTCCAAGATTATCAAATTTCAGAGTTTTGTTCCAGAAATCTGCTAATCCTTGCCTGCCTCTCATCACTCTCCCTAGATACAGCTTCAGAATCTTCAGCATATGACTTTCATTTTTCTTTTGCATCCCCTCTTTATAGCTCTCCCCCATTACCGATTTATCATCTTTATTTTAACTGTTTCTCCAAAAGTTTCATTCCAGACCTTTGCTGCTGTAGTGTTTTACAATCCATGATGATGATGATGCCTGAACCCAGCAGCTGGAATAAATCAGCAAACCACAAATGCCTCTCTCCACAGCTAGGTATTTAAATAGAGATATTCTTCCCAAGTATTTTCCAATGGAGACATATATGTTAGGGTGCAAATATATATATATGGAGCAGCTACAGGTCCATGCGAGGGAGAAGGGGAATATCTAAGAGAGAACTCATTATCTTTACACACAACTTTTCAGGAGATGGCAATGAGCTCAGTTCCCTTTGTTTTGAATTGCTGCATTTTAGGTGTTAGACAGTTATGCTACACCATCCATAGGGAATGCAGACATAGGTTTTACTAAATGTGCTTAGCATGTCAACATTTTAAGCATTGGCTTGTGATTGTTACCACTAAGGCTTGGTGAGAGAGGGGCCTCGGTATTAACTATTGAAAGCAGGGGGCCTAGTAATTGCTATTGAAAGCAGATCTGCGGGGTATTTGTGTTCTTTGTCATGAAAGATGTTTACTGGATTCAGCATTTCGCTGAGCACCATTTAGTGTCTTTTTTTTTTCTTTTACATTCAAAATTCATTAAAAAAAGTTGGGTTTTTTTTCCCAACAGAAAATGTCAGCACTGCTCCACACCAGTGCAGCTGACGGTGCGTTTGAGCAGCGCTTTCAGCCCACAGAGCTTTTATTCTTGTCCTAAACCAAAAAGACAATTAAAAAAAGGAAGGTTTTTAAAGCAGGTGCACTGCAGCAGGGTCTGCATCCTTTTTCTTCCCTGGACTCAGTTATGGAAATGAGTCCTAATATGAAAAATGCACTTCTAGAAACCACCAAAGCGCTCTTTGGAGCTGCACTCCCCAGGCATAGTGCTCTTCCAGCAACAAGTGCACTCGGAAAGGAATAGTAAGGCTGTGACTGATGATAAAAGCAGGCACAAATAAAGTTCAAAACTTTGAGGACACTCAAATACATTTAATTAAACTTCTTCATGCTGCAAAATGGGCATTTTACTCTCTAGTGC